GACTTGGCCTTATACTGAATAATGATTTAAAAAGAAGAATTTCGAAAGAATGGAGTAGAAGTATTGTAAAAACTACTTAACTTAAACACCTATCTACATCTACAATTCTAGTGTTGTACATAATAAAAGTAAACTTGGATAACTGCCAACTTCCTTACACAAATAGTTTAAAAAAATAAATTAAAAACCATACACTACAAAAATTTACAAAATATATCAAATCTACTTTAGTTAGTAATTTCGTTATATGAAAAAGAGCATTGAAAAGTAATTTTTTACAGAGTGAGGGTGACAAACAAGCACTCAGTCTTCCTATTGGTAACTGGTTGCTGTGCCCCATAGAAATCCACATCTATCTTAAATTACAAATCAAAATGTAGACACATTGTCACCAGTGAGGGTCAAAATGGAATACCAAATTTCCAGTAAAAAGTGTCTCCGGTTCTCCACACTCACCATACAAAACACAGCAGCGTTAAGCTGCTATTTTATGCTGGTATTATGTGAGAATGTGGTCTTTATCCAGTCAAGCCAACTTAAAATCCGATGATGAGGTACATGTTAATATATTTATACCATATATTATATAGTTATAGTTACTATTTTAACATGTATGTACCTTTAATAGCAGTTGCTTTTTATAGCAAACATAGTTTTATTTCTATTTTTCTTATGCAAACGCTTAGTGTTTGTCTCTGGGGTTATGATTAATAAAATGAGAGATTTTCGTTTAGTCTACCAAATATAATTTTTATTAATAAAAATAACTCATCTGGGAGTTAAAATCTGCAAGATTTTCTTTTGCTTTTTTCTTTTCTCTAACTCTTGCGTAATTTACATAATAGAATATCTTTTTAAAACAAATAAGATTTGTGACACCTATAAAATATGGATGTTTATCTACTTACTAATCAAGTAACATAGTTATGGCAAAAGGGAGACCAAGACTAATAGGACCATCCGGCCATTATGAATGGCTGTCAATGATGTCATCATAAGCTATTAATAAGATACAAAATCAACCACATCATAACTCAAAGGTGTGAGTATTGATTATTGATGTGGGGTTTATTATGGAGGTACTGTAAAATTAGATACAATATTTAGTAAAAAAAAATAGGATTTCACTTGATGATACGGCTGTTTTTCACATTAGGCGCTCATATAGAGAATGTACCGTGTAGTAGTGGTGGAAGAGAATCTACTACAGATTATCATCCTGTGGATGCTGAAAGAGGCGACAGAGGAAAACTAATATGAGCAGCATCCTTTTCTGAAATAAAAAACAGCAGTTGCCAACCTCTGGCAACTCTAGCAAATATGTCTCATGTTAAACTGCTTATAGAGGACTTTTGATAGGTTGTAATAAATGGGTGCATAGGCCTAATGAAATTATACAAAGTGTAAAGTTTGGGAGATTATGACACACTTGTCATTTTTACTTATAGAATACTATAATACATACATAATAGAACGGGGGTGTGGGCGGAGCCCGTGTAGCCACTAAAATGCCACTAAGACACGAGATGTGTTTTGATGTTACAATCATTTCCAAATTTCGCATGCAAATTATATAGAAAATGCCAAATTGCACACTATTTACAAATAAGTATGTATTAAAATCCGTCTGTCAACACAGCGAATCGGGTTTGTAGTAGTGATTAACTGATAATACGACATAATTGCTTGTATGTGTGCTCCCGGCGCCGCCGAACCTCGGTACAAAATAAGGTTGACAGCCATTCTATTATGATTACAGTATTCTATGTTTTTACCTCAAAACTTAAAAATGAGATTGTACTATGAGTGCATGTTGCCAGTGATTATATACAGTTTTGAGACTTTGTCTTTCATTGCTGACCATATGACAAAGCTCAAGGTTGTTTAGCAAACTATTGAGAGGGCTATGTCCGAAGTTTCTATGAGTGATAGACTTAGAAATGATGATACCTGCAGTAGAACCAGAGAAACCGACATAACCCAACGGATCAGTAAGCTAAATTGGCAATGGGACGGCACATAAGACATCTGCTTTACATGATTGATATATACCTCAAAGCAACAATAACCTATAGGGAAGAAAGAATAGGTTAAGGAATGGCAGCCTCGTACCAGTAAGCAAAGTGTAAGGTTAGATGGAATAGCAACCTGATAAGAGATGTAGGAAGTCAATCAGATGGCTCAGGACCATGCTTAATGGCAATCCTTGGGGGAGGAATATGTAAGTAGTAAACTTGTTAATGGCTGTAAGTTTAGTAGTAATAAAATATTTAATAACAAAAATTTGTAAAAAGTTGATTCTAAGATTGCTAATAAAGTTTATTATTTTTTTATAAATGTATTAATGAATCCAGAATGCGGAAACATACATCGTTGTTATTACTGCATTATATTGCCTGGACAACGAGAAGTAAGGATAAAAAATGAGCACACAGTCCACCTAGTAGCAAGTGGTTGCATTGACCCATATACGAGACATGTAGTATGACATTTACAGACATTTACAGTTAGGTACCCTTTTTCCTTGATATCAAAATTTAGATAGGATGTCCTTTCTGATGTCTAAAATGCAATGCTAATTAAAGAATTTCCAGTTTTTGTAACTCACATATAAAACACAGCAGTATTATCATGTTAGAATTGTATTGGCTGCATATTACATCCATGAGTTGCTGTATAATTCATCAGGTGGACATGACCATCTTGTATTATTAACAAAAGTTTATTTGACTTTGAAAGTTTATCTGTAATATTCTCATTTGTGATACTGTCAACAACCACCAATGTAATTGTCAATAGCAGTCTTAAAAGCAGGTTTCCCACATGCACAGAGGTGAAGTAAATGTTAATGAGGAATCCTATATGTCTAATAAATTAAAAAAAAACTCATGAGGAAAGTGCAGTCTACCATCACACATTGAAGTAGTTGCGTTTTGATTAAAACTACTTTTACGGATTTTATCGCGTTTTATTTATTTTTGATACCCGAAGGGGGTCCCCCGTGACCATGGGTGCTGAAAAGCACCCGAAACGTCAATGTATAGTGTTCGCGTAAATATAAGAAATCATTAGTTGCGTTTTTTTGCCTACTCCATAAACAATCCTAGAAATAGAAATGGGAAAAGTAAAGTAAAAGCCTTAATACTAGGTTGACTTACTATTTAATCGGTTAAATTCTTTTATGAGAAAGGAGGCAGTGTAATATAATATCTAAACACAAAAAAAGTAGTAGTAACTATCAAACAAGGAGGGCCATGGCTGTGGGCAAAAGATTTTAAGAAATGGCATTTCGGGAAAGAAAAGTAAGGTCCCGAATTAATTGATACCTATTTTAAATGATGACAGTAAAAATCTCAAAGAATCTGAAAAACACTTCCTATTAAATACTTTATATTCGTCAGCGCATTTATAGAATACAATTGGATCAAGAGTGAGTACGAGTTTGCGTCACCCTAGTGGAGCATCATATCAATGGTGCAATTGAGGGTAGATCAGGAATCCCCCTTTTGTTTGTGCAGTCTAAGTCATTCTACATAGTAGTAGTGCTAACATAGAATAGATTCGTTTTTATTCAATATTGATTACATGTAATTTATATTAAAATTCATTGATGGTATTGTGGTTTTGCCCACTGTGGTGGTTCTTATAATGCAGGCGAGAAAGATGGTGTTGCTGAGAGGCTGATTTGTGTTACAGTGAGATGAGTGATGTGATTTGGTAGTTGGTAGGTTAGTGTTATTATGTAATTACATCCCTCATGTTAAACTGGTGTGATTGTGACGGGTACATGTTACAATGTGGTTGAACCGTAATTGTTCTATGCCGAAAGTGAATAGTGTAATATGCAATCTTATTACTGATAATGATTAATTGCATAAGCAAGAGAGCAATTTGAACATCCCGTCACACACTTTTACTATTTTTAACAATTTACTTTTCCTAGTGTATATATAAGATCAGAAGTGAGATCTTGTGTTGGAGTTCCAATGTCAGAAGTGGGATCTCCTGTTGTGTTTCCGACATATTAAAATAATAATAATTTTTTTATATAATCTCTGCACATGCACACTTCTCCTAGATAGGGATAGTATAAATAAATACATTAGCTATAGTGATGTTTTCATTTTTGAATATACTTAGCTATGGAAGTCATTTACCAATGGGGAAAAAAGGCAGCTTTTTAGGCACTGACAGCCCCTAGTGGAAGCAGCCCGTGTTACTTCACTTTATATAACCTTCCATCTCTTAAAACAGGTATAATATGGGTATTCTAAACTACATATAATTTTTCTTAACTTCACATGATTTATACTGAGGTTTGACCTCCATGTTATCAAAAGTATATTTGTTAGCAGCAGGTGCCAAATTGTTAGACCTTACTCACTGTGACCTTATTATTTATTTAGTGATAACTGCATAAAGGGCCTCAAATTCTCAACAAGAAATTAAAGGGAACATTTATGGGAGAACTTGATTCCTAAACACTATATATTATAATATATCATTCATTGTAATAAAGTGCAATTTAAATAATTTTTCAAGATTATTGTCAAACATAAACACAAACACTCACGCCTGTCACCCAGATGGGTAGGCAGAGACTACAGACTTCCATTTAGCACGATCCTGACACACCTCTCTCGCCTCCTGCACATCCATATACCTACGCATACATGCTCGTCGGTTGAGGGTGCTCCTAATTTGGCCCATTTTTAATAAATCGCCAATTTGGTCGATAAATTTTCACATAGGACGTCCCTTTCCAACTCTGCCATTCACTTCTGCAACATAAATTTTCTTTGTCATTCTCTCCTCATTCATTCTTTCCACATGACCAAACCACCGAAGCATTCCTTTCTTAATCCTGGTCACAACATCAACTTGCAATAAATCAATCTCTTTATATTGTCAAACACTGTTTTTGAAAGTACTTATATCAGAAAATAAAAATACAGTAAATACTTACTACTTAGTCAGTAAATTCAAAATAAAAAAATACATTACCAGTTTTTTTTAATTGTCAAGATTCCTTTAGTAGCTTTTTTCTTTCCTTCATGATTAATTCTAGAGAAACGGTCACTGAAACTTCTCTTCAATTCTGAGACAGTTTTTAATCTTTCACCAGATGACAATCTCAAAGACTTGCCACCCACTTTTCTGATGTCTATTTCTTCACTCAGACTATCAACACTTGACGCTGTATGAACTGACACTTTTTTGCTTTTCCCCTTTGAAGATTTTATTGGTAAATGAGCTTCAGAAACATCACTTTCACTCAACTCACGACTAGACTTATTGTATCCTCTTTTGGCACTGTTACCGAAACCTTCTACGAAACATAGCATAATGTCTTCTTGGTATGATTGCTTCATTTAAAAGAAACCGCTTTTCGCAAACTCATATGCTATTACATGCACCTCTACAGTCCACGACGCACGCACAACGTGAACCTCTATTTTGATTAAAAGAATACATTCACATGTTCATTCGCTTTAAATTAGAAGCATTCGACATAAAACTTCTGGTAAATATTAACAATTGTCCAGTTAATATTTGTAGTTTGTGAAATCGTAAGTAATTTTCAGTATATCCAAATGTACTCCGTGGCAATAACTTTGTATTAAAATATTAATCGAACATAACATAAACCACAACTTTCAGTCTTTCAACTTTCAAGGCAACAACATTATTTATGTACCTACGAGTCAAACCGCTAAATAAAACTGAACTGACAACTGACTGAGTGACGTTTCGGTAACGTTTAGAAAAGTATGGTACTATAAAAACCGTTCAGAAACTATTGATACTGCGCCGTCTGAGAGTGTGTAACAGACCGTGATTTGTCACCATTATGCTCTAAGCAGACTAAGCATCTCACCTACATCTAGTCAATTTAATACCGCCGTTAGTATTAAAATGACCAGGTGTAAATTAGTTACTTACCAAATAATATCTTTAATATTTATATCTATTCTACTAAAAATATAAAGGTTAGATAATTACACACAAAACATCTAATTCTAAATGGAATTCCTTAAAAAACATAAAATTAGAAATAAGTTTAAGTGTACTCTTCTTGGTGCGTGCGTGTTGCAATCAATACTGTCAGGAAATGCAAAAATTGCATGATCACCTGGGTTACTGGGAGCCAAACAAGGGTGTTATAATATATATAGAGATATAAGGTTGAGCAGTAAGGTTTTTATTTATTAATAAGATAGAAGCAACATTTGGATAGTTTAATGAAAAAGGTTTAAATTTAGCAAGCATAAAAGTTATCTAGTGACGAAATTAGGTTTTCTATTAAGTATTTCTTATTGTATATAAGTAACTATACATACGAGTTTATATTTATAAATAAAAACAACCTAATCTAAGTCCCAAAGAGTGGCTAATATTATTTATTGTAGACTTCCCTATTATGTAACATGCACTGAGTCTACACATGTATAATATATATATAATATAATTATCCTGTCTATATTATTACGTATTTATAATTGTACTACACTGATCCCATAATAGTTTAACGTAAATTATGACACGGCATTTGGCATCGATTGTTGAACTATAATGATAATGTTCTCCTTCCCGAATTGCAACCAAGGCGACGAAATTTTGCATTTATAACATTTTAAAAGTGATTTAAAACATTATTAAATAAAAACACTACACAAGAAGAGGGAGTATAATAAGTAAGGTCTAGGGTGGAATTTAGTGGGCCTCAATAACCGCCGACCAAGTACTCGTATTTAAGAAAAACCTAACGAAATGCTGCTCAAATGGTTTATCAATTAGTACTTTATTTACTAATTGATTCACCGTTTTTTTTATATAGGTATTTACAAGCAAATTATCAAAGTGTTTTTGGGTCTTTAGTTATAAGGTGCAATGGAAAAAATCTGCCGAAGGCCATAAGATAATTTGGGCATTTTCTTCGACTCGCGCCCCGCGTTAGTCCCGAAAGTAGCCTCTTACAACATTCATGGGATATGATCACTTATTGTATGCCATCACCAGAGGGAAGCAGTTCAGATGAAGTGAAATATGTAAAAAAGCTGATGGTCTTAAAACGGCTAACTTTTTGATAAATCATACCTAAGAACCACCGCTAGAAAACACGCTTTTAAATTAAAAAAAAAAACATCCAAATCGGTTCACCCGTTTAAGAACACAGACCGACACACAGACAGACAGACAGATACACATAGCGGTCAAACTTACAATACCCTTCATTTACTTTTTTTCCTTTTTTTTAAAAACGAGAAAATCCTAGTGTAGGGGTAACCCTACACTAGGATTTTCTCCTGTATCGTGGGGGTTTACAAACATAAATTGCACAAGGACAAACATCCACACCCGAAACAATTTATTGTAGCCTAAATGTAATACAAATACTTGTTCCGTGCGAGATTCGAACCCGCGACCCCCAGCGCAGCCACTCATTGCTAAGCCACTGCGCCACGAAGTCGTCAAAGTTTTTCGTCGGGGGTTAAAAATAAAATCATATCAAATACAGAGCGAAAAGTAGGTTCAGATGGTGAAGAGGATATCTGGTATGGGCTGCAAGAAACTTTAAAAACAGATTATTAACGATTCATTGAACTACTGAGCTAATCAGCCGACTGTTGATACGGCTAGTGATACGATACTAGGTATAAACGGAGTTGTCATCCTTTCTTAAGATACGATACGACAAGGTGATCAATTGTGGACCCGGCCGTAGATGATAACATGTATCACGTATGTAATTGCTAGTATTGGCACAGAATAAGTAATAGTAACTAACTTAGTATTAGATATTAAGTATCTATCTATCAAAACTATCTTTTTTATATAGAATACGAGTGATATACCAACACACAGCCCACCCGAATGTAAGTGAATGCTGAGGCTCTTAGGCATCGACATTTATCCTTGATTAAGAATCAAAATGCAGATGTTATATATTTATTTAAAGACCGACAACGCACCTGCAATTCCCCTGGTTTTGCAGATGATGGCCGGCGTTAGTCACTTACCATCAGGTGAGTGAGCCACATGTTCGATTGCCACCTGATTTGAAACATGATTATAATTTTTTCAAGATCATGTATAATGATGTGATAAACCTTTCTTCATTTCTTTCATTGTAGAAGTTATTGCAAAAATAATCAATATTCATACATTTTGATACTTACTAAAATATACTATAATGTGAAATCGTAATAAGTCGCAATAGATGTTATGATATTGAAATCTCAAACTATTAGCTTTAAAATAATGAGGATAAACAAATCTGTGCGCAGCTAATGTGTGCATTGAGGTACGTAGTAATATTATACTTCAATGAATGTGTGGCGTTAAATTTGTTCATACAAGAATGTTTAAATAGGCGCACATGGTACATTATTCCGATAAACACGTATGCTCTCTTTATTTTGTGTTAATACTGAACATATTTTTATGTGCCTCTATCAACGAAGATTATTAAATTAGAACCTAAGACCACTGCGCAACAGTCCTTTCTAGGAATGTGCACGCAGGCAAACATTGTTCACTAAAACTGTCCATAGTCACGCCATTAAACTATAACTTCCGATAATATACGGAACATAGATTACTGAATATATCGTAGACAGAGAAACCTATAGACAAATTGACGCCTTCTTTCGCATTCGCACACGAAAAAGATAGATTTATGCATACGTCTTGCATAGAAATGAGATAAAGCGGTGTGATTGTTTATCCCTTTCTCCGTACCGGTTTTTTTGTTTAGCAAACCTACAGTTTGCTAAACAACTATGACAGCGTAGCGATTTAAGGAGTTTACAAGTTGGTTTAAGTGAAAAAAAAGTGTTTTGTGAGCTTAAGATTGGTGAGTCTTGTTCAGTTCAGTTCTTAGAACAATTAAATTTTTTATTTAAATGTGTTTAAAAGTCATAAAGATATAATTTATATAGTAATAATTAGTAGTAAGTATAACCTAAAAATTCGTTATCGTCCTTTCTCACTCGAGGCCACGCCGATCATTATTCTATAGGTTTCTCTGTCTACGGAATATATACTAGACACGGAGCTTATCACCATAGAGCTAAGAGGATATCTCGATTATCAAAGGCAACATTCTAATTTAACATCATGCCTACGATTTAACTACTACAAATATAATATTTAATCTGAGTTCTATATCTATCTAGGTATATCTTATATAAAACTATGTCATTATGGATGAACTCATTAGTTCGTAGTAACGGGAATTCGAACAATATCATTGATCGTTATACGACATTAAGAAAACACACTATTTTCTTATTGCCTTATTTTAGTTAGTAAGTATAGTAGTAAGTAATTGTAATTTATAAATGATTCCTTTGATACGTTGGAAAATACAAAATTAATAAATATTATAAATGAAATAGTAGTCTTACCGGCGTCTCCATCGAAAGGTTTCTTGTGAAACACTTTGCCTGCCTCTGAGCAAGGCGCGTCGGATGCTCGTTAAAGGTAGGCTTTCACGTCTTAGCGACCATCGAATGCGGTCGCTGTTTATAGCAGACGTTTTCTTATCCATTGCACATTTGTAATAGATCACTTACATGTCCTATTCACAAACGAACCCGAACACCTCATCTTAAAAACTATAACTCTTTAATATAAATGTGCGTGCAAAACTGACAAACTTATTTCCAACCTTATCATAAGTAAGTTCCATATTTACATTTTATGATACTGAAAATGTACACAAACATACATCTCGCGCACGTAGTGTTTGAGGTAACGTATTTTTACATTATTTAAAATGTGTAGGTGTTTAAACGATGTGGAAATTCTAAACAGATTTAAATATTATTATTTATTTATAGTAAATTAATAGTTAGTGGCGATGTAACTACCCTCATGTTGTTGATTTTTTATAGGATGGGGTGGCAAACTAGCACACAGTCCACCTGATGGTAAGTGGTTGCTGCGGCCCATAGATATCTATATCTATCCTCGATTACAAATCAAAATGCAGATGCGTTGTCACCCGTGAGGACTAAGATGGAATGCCTCGTTTCCAGTAAAAGGGTTTCCGGTTCTCTACACTAACCATACGAAACAGAGCATCATTAAGCTACTATTTTACGCTGGTATTCTGTGAGAGTGTGGTCCTTCCCCGGTCGAGCCGACCCATTCGGGCTACAACTATACTACTAATATAAATGCAGTATATTCTTTCTGTACGTGTAGAAAGAGGCGACAGAGGGAAATGAAAAAGGAGATGGGCAGCACCATCTTCCTGATAACAATTCAAAATATTAAATAAACTGCGTCTGCTAACCAGGTCAATCTTGACAACTATGGAAATATCCCCTCTATGAGGCAATCCATGGGAGAGGTCTCTTTCAGCAGTAGACTTTTGATTGAATGAATGAATAAATCACTGCATAATTTTTGAACATTCTTATCATAATAGAACTTACAGGAGATACTCCATTACTTATACTCTACGATGCTCCATTAGGTACATAATATATTAGTGTTCTCATAATTAAATTTCGATTTTTAGATAATTAGGTTTTTCTTCATCGCCAGAAATAAAGCAGCACAAGTTCGGATTATTCAGTTTTAATGTCCTCAGCACCATCACATAATCTTGAGTTAAGACAGATAGATCAGTTTATATCAGCTATTTCCACACCGTAATGCCTTAATATGTGATTTTACTATGGAGATATGCGAAAACTATTTTTGTTTTTCGGAAGAAGGCTATAATAGCTATTTACAACCTAGAACTAACACCGCATATTTCAGCGTATTTTATCTCACGTACACCGCCTCTGAGTATTTTTACGAAATTATAATGTATGTTTACAAAAACAAAGGTAACAACAAAAGTGATATACACTGTGTAAACACCAGAAACAAACACAAGGTTGTGATACCAGTTTCTCAACTCTGCAGAGTCAGTTATTTATTTATGGAACAATATATATACGCTATTAGAACAAAGTCCCAAAAATATACAAGGTCTCTCTATTACCAAGTTTAATTTTTTTGAGGATTAGTATATTTAATTAAATAAAAACTGTATGAAAAGTGTTATTATAATATAATATTTACGTCGTTGATAGTAACCCTTGGGAACTAGGTAGTCGCTTCCAAGCTGTTTCTTAATTAAGTTTTTAAGTAGTTTGTATAACCTATGTTCTTATTGTATAATTTTATTTTGACAAAAAATCCTGCTGGGTTTCTTGCTAGTTCTGCCCAGGACAAAGGTTTTTTTTAAACTTATTATAAGCCACAATCCCTCCTGGTGGTACGTGGTGATGCAGCCTTAGATGGTCGCAATGTCTTAGCGTAACAAAAGCCTATTCACTCTTGCCTTGAAAATGCCCAGATTGTATTCCGACGGAAAGATAGACGCCGGCAAATTATTTCATTCCTTTGTTTCTGATGCGTGGAATATCGACAACAAAGGTGTGAAAACCCTTCGACCGCCCAGTCGTCCGATGGTGGAAAGGAGAGGGAAGAATTAAAGCGTGCAATTCCTGCGCACACTCACCGAAATGCATCCAATAGAATACCGAGTGGCTGGCTACTCTGCGCCTGTGCTCGAGGCTGACAAGGTTGGTTTCAACCAAATCAAGGTCTATGAGCCTCTTAGCACATCTCTCCGCTGAGTTCAGCGTTGCGAGGTGGCATTTTGCAGCACCAGCCTATATGTAACAGCAGTACTCCATGCACGACCGGACATGCTGCCGGAGCTGCACTAGCGTGAAGTACCGCCGCACCCTTGCAAGAACACCAAGTTTCCTTGCTACTGCTTTGGCTTTGGACTCAGTGAACTGCCCATAGTTGAGGTTCAGAGAAGATTCAACCCCTAACAACTGAAGGCGAACCAGCGTGAGCGGGCTCCTTTTAGCGGTGAAAAGAGACACTTGTGCTTTGGAGGCGTTGAATCTCACGAGATTGGCATCGCCCTATTCGGAGACAGCGTGTCCGACTGTTGCGGAGTTGTGTGAGATTCACGCGCTCAAACATAGCATCTCTTTCGGACTGGATTTAATCCCGAATAGCCCGGGCTCTTGGTTGGTATCTTTCCACAACTGTGCTATCGTCTGCTTACCCATAGATATTGGGCATAAGTACATCATTCATATGCAGCAGGAAGAGCTCCTTCCACTTGACCGCATCCTGTAACTTTATAAGGCGCAGGTTCGGCCTCACATAGAATACTGTTCCCATCACTAGGCTGGGGCTCCCCAGTGCCATCTCCTTCCACTTGACTGTATCTGAAGAGATGTAATCTCTTTGCATTTTCTTTAGCATATACCACGGGGATCTAAACCCAACTCGCGCAACCCTCCCGATAACATCCACACCATCTGGATGCTTGGTGGTCCACCACTGTACGTTTCACTAGGAGTTTTCTTCCGCGTACGACCTCTCTGTGGAATAGTTTACCACCGACCTTCAAGAAAAGAGCTCTCCATTCTACTCCATTCTAAAAGGCCGGCAACGCACCTGCAATTCCCTTGGTGTTGCAGTTGTTCGTGGGTGGCAGTAGTCAATTAACATCGGGTGAACTGTATGCTCGTTTGCCCCCACTTCTATATAAAAAAGAGAGTTGCCGAGAGAACGGACCCTGGAGGAAAACCGGCGTCAGTTGCCATAGGATCGGATGAGCAGCCACCGACGACGATCCGGAGAGATCGTTCACTCAGAAAGTTCTTTCTCCATTCAATCAGACCAGGGTATAAGCCGTACGCTGGAAGCTTACCCAAAAGGATAGCGTGCCAAACTCTGTCAAAGGGCTTCGAGACATCAAGGGAAACAGCAAGTGCTTCCCCAATGTTCTCGAGGGCCTCGCCCCATACGTGTGTGCTAGGAGCATACGCTAGAAGGTTCCCAGCAGACCGATTTCGGCGAAACCTCTATTGCTGGTCACTAAGGTGATTTTGTTCTAGGTATGCCATTAAGCGGGAGGTTTATTGAAAAGGTGTTGGAAGTAAAAACAATACTCAATAGGTTGCAGGTGTTCATGGGCTGCAGTGGCCCCATACCATCAGGTGGACAGTAAGTTCATTTGTCAGTTCACTTTTATAAAAAAAACAGCCGACATTTTCCACATAATTGAAATATCTACAGAGGCACTCGCTCAATAACCCCAACGTTGCTGGCGTAACACTTACGCATTAAGATCTAAGGTATGCTAGGATGAAGTGACAATACTACCCGTCCCGAATGGAAAACCGATAACCGTACCACAGTGCAATTGTATCACTCTGGTGGTATTCATTTGCCGGGGATCGCTCCGTAACAGCGATAAGTTTATTCATTGTGATTTTTAACCCCCAACAAAATCGTACTATTACTTACCAGCGGTGTCTTTGCGTTTCTGCGGTTGAGAGCAAGGTAGAATCTATAAGTTCGTCGCTAGACCAGCGGCAGCCTGGGGAGGCTGCACACGCAGCAAACGGTGACTGTGCTGTGACAATTATTACGATTTCTGAGGTGCTAGTGAAGTAGTGGTGAATGTACGTCACGTACAAAGTTTTCCGATAGATATACTTGAATCAGTAATAAGTGCCGATAAGCCTACCTCTCCTATGACTAATAATTCAATTATATATATTTCTATTTTTAGTTTGAAGTACCCTTTGAGAAGTACCTAATGAGTAAATGTGTCGATAACTGTAATACGTGAACTATAGGATAATATTATTGTATAACATTGGGTGCGTTTGGCAGAAAAAAGCGTTAGCAAGCGCTCATAAGCGCTGAAATAGTTTTCGGCCAGGATACGATTGCTACTTCAGTAGCGCTGACACAATCCGCCATTTTACTTATTTAATTTGTTTGTTTTGAAGTAGAGTTTATAAGTTGTTTTGTGCAATATTAGTTTTAAGTAAAATAATGACATGAATAAACATATACATGTTATTAAGAAATTCATGATTGGTAAGTTTTTAATATGAATACTTTACAAACATATATTTAAATTACGTTAGGTTCCCCGGTTAAAACTAACATCGTGTCTTGGAGGAAAATAGCTACTTACGATTTGACAGCGCTTACCGCTTACGATCGCCATTTTGCTTACAAGCGCTTGCTAGCGCTTTTTTCTGCCAAACGCACCCATAATGTTGTGATATTAATTATCACATTGTTGCATCTATCATTCATTTGCATCAGCTGTAACTACTAAATCTTTGTTAAAAAAAGAGGGGTATTATATGTTTAACGGGATGAACGGATGTAGATTTATTTTTTTATGTTTGAAAGGTGACTTGATCGAAAGTGCTCTTAGCTATGATTCGGGGGTTTTAAATTTTTTAATTTAAGTTATTAAAACTTGACTCAACCTAAATTAATTTTGTAACCTTTAATCAAATTTTAATATAAAGAAGACATTAGCTTATTATCGATACTGGTACATTAACACAAAACAATGAAACCAAACATCGCCAATCGAAGCCAAAATAAAGCCAATTAAGTTTCCAACTAGAGCTACATAATCACATTACCGCAGATTCGAAAACCAAATTTGTTTTGAATGAATCTTAGTTCCGGTGAAGAAACTAATACTTAGAGAATAAGTATTAGTTAAGCAAATTTGTTTATTACTCGCAATGTTAATAAAATGCAAATTTAAACCCACGACTTCCTCTTCTTCATTACTTACCTTACATACCTACTTGACTTAACTCACTTTTAGATAGAAATTTCACGAATGCATATGCTGGCATGTCCATCTAGATTTAAATATTCTCACCACGTTGGAGAGAAGAGTCGATTAGAGGGCAAATCTATTAACCACTCAATAGGTAGTCTGTAAGCTTGGTATTTGGTTTTGAATGTATAAATGTCCTACGTATCGTTTGAATTTTTAGTTTGTCAGTATCCGCACCGTAATATGTAGTAGGTACGCTAAACTGTCACTAACTATTACAAGTCCTGCTGACTGTAGTTTCGAAGTGACGGTAGCCTAAGGACAAGGCACGGAAGCGAACTCAAAAGGTCGTGGGTTCGAATTCGCCATTCCACCACTGTCGTGAACCACTCCAAACACAAGCATTTCAAGTTTACCACGAGTGATTAAATGGAATATTAGTAATGTTAATAGCATTGCTAGAACTTAAATTAAAAAAAAAACACAATTGTGCAGGTAACTTACTGCGCTATATAGTGTGGCGAGGGCACACGCAAGTGATGCCTGCGCGGGCGCTCCGCGTCGCTGTCGCTCGCTTCCTCGAGCCCAAGCGCGCTCGCCGACCCGCCCGCCGACCTGCCGCCAAAATATCACCTCAATTACTTAATAATAATAATTTTTATTCCATTTTCAATTACACATATTTACATACAGGAACAAATATAATTACAATGAAAGAAAGTAACAATGAGCCTAATAAAAATAACATGCAATAGTAAAAATTAAAACTACGTGTAATTAATAATGTAGAATCTACAGAAGAAAAATTTAAAACTCAAGTTTATGATATTACCTGCCCGAATTTGGTTGAGTACCTGTGTTTCAGACAATCACTTACACTATAGGTTTAATAATGTAGGACACAACGTAATTTAAATAATTAAACTATATTATATAATAAATAAAATAACTGAATAACAGTTATTTGAAACCTACAATTAATGCAAAACTATTTTAGAATTTCTAACAACTTCTCTGTATCTTCGTAATTTAATTTCAAAAATTCCCTTACATTTATTTTACATTTCTTATAACTTACACTATATATCTTTAGTGACTCGTTGAGCTTGTTATATAGAAATGGTCCTAAAAATATGTAAAATCTGTTCACAAATGCGTGTTTGGTTTGAGCATTGATTTGTATATTACAGTTTTGTATAATTCAATGTGTTTGAGGGTTTACACAAACTATGTCCATTCTTCTCCTGTCTGTGGTTTTTAAGTTAAATACTTATAATATACCTACATGCTATGAAACTACCGACAGAAATTAATCCAGGGATTGAAAGATTCTAAAATTACCGATAAGTAAGCCAAAACTATTAATAATGTACAAATAAAACAGATTATGTCACAAAGTGGAAACCGCACCGCAATTAAAATTTAAATGAAGAATGAACGATATTAATTTGAAACCAGCCTCTATTCCCTAAATATATATACATATATGTTTAGTATGGACAGCTTAAAATATTTACGTGCAAAACATACATATCTACGATCACATTGACCACGTGCAATATAAACTTATGACAATCAAAAGAAATAAGCCAAAAACATACTCGCAGGTTTGAGAATAATTAGACTCGTGTTCTTTTACTGAGAAACAGAGGATATATAAAGATTTGGTTATTGTAAGTATAAAAATATTTGAAAGATGAATAATACTAAAGCGTTTAAAATGATGGCTATAATTTTGATCAACAGTAAATATCATAAATAAAATTCTAAAAAAGCTTTTAAGGAAGTTGAATTATTTACAAATTAAAACATAACATGGTTATATTCAAATTTTGAGAAAAAGCAGATGTGATAAATTTATGTTATAGAGATTCGAGACATAGAAGGAGGATAAGAGTAAATACATTAAATTAAACTTAATAAGAAGTAATAAGTTTAATATAAGCTAGGTATTTATAGTTTCCTAGACTATAAATCTAGCTAGAACAGAAATGCAGATCCAAAAAAGCATCATTTTTTAATTTATTTAGGACAACAAACAATTACACAATAATGCTTAAACTAAATAACATTTTATAAATAATATTAGTCATTATGTAACCAGCACCGTTATCCACAAAGTAATATTAAATTGGTAACAGTAAATAATAAATGCACAATAAACAGAGTATAAGTAAAAGAGGGAAAATAAAATAAAATTGACAGTACTCAGTAACATAAAAATCAAAATGAGACAAAAGGAAAAAAATTGCTAACAATACAAATTTATCTTGTAAAATATTTTAAGATACTATCGAATATCTACCAACTTTCTTAGAACGTTCTTGCGAAATTGTAACTGTGATGAAGTGAATAGATCAATATTTGAAAAATGCATGTTATATTCTTTCATAATACGTCTTAATGGGGCGTGTTCACCTGCATTGGTTTTACATAGTTTAGGCGCATACAATCTATGTATATACACGTCTCTAATGCGTTGAGAACGACTAGGGACACGGATATATATTTTGTTAAGTAGTTCACTACAATCTAAATCATTTCGAATTATTTTGAATAATAGTCTTAGATCAAAGTATATTCTTCTTGCTTTTAAAGTATGAATTGAAAACTTTTTAATAAGTTGCGATACGATGATTTAGCGTGGTAACATTTATTAATTTATAAAACGAAGAAACTTTGCTTGTAATGATTCTAGAAGTTCACCGTATTTATTATAATAGGGGTTCCATACTTGCGTTGCATATTCAATTTGTGGTCTGATAAGTGATTTGAAAAGTAGTAAATAAGATGAGGAGCTTTTAAAAAAATTACACGTTCGTGCAACAATTCCGTACATTTGATACGCTTTATTTGTTACATGGCTGATATGAGCAATAAAGATTAGATTTGAATCGTAAAGGATGCCTTAATCTTTTATTAATGATACTTTTTCTAAGGGACTGTTAAGAAGGGAATATATGTAATTGTAGGTTTTTACGTTTTTGGTGAAAGAAATATATTTACATTTAGGGATGCTTAATTGCAATTTATTGATTAGACAGTAGTTAGATAACCGGTCAAGATCTTCCTGTAGCTTCTCACAATCATTAAGGGACTTTACACTTCGATAAACTTTCAGGTCATCTGCATACAACAAAAAATTACTAGTTATAAAACAAGACTGAATTTCATTTATATACAATGTGAAGAGCATCGGACCTAATATAGATCTCTGTGGTACACCTGAGGATACTAATTTTTCGCTAGAGGAGAATCCATTAACCACAACTTTTTGGGTCCTATTAATAATGTACGAAAAGAACCACCGCAATAAGTTTCCACGTATACCATTGAACGCAAGTTTTTGAAGAAGGATGGAATGATCCACTTTATCAAAAGCTTTACAAAAGTCTGTGTAAATAGTATCAATTTGTATTCGATTGTTCATATTATCAAACAGAAAGTTTGTATATAAAATAAGATTACTGATGGTCGATTGGTGTTTTACGAAATGTTGTTCTGGAATTAGTAAGTTGTGCAAACTCGGATAAATTGAATTATGTACACTAAGCGTTCAAGGACTTTTAATAAGGCAGAAAGTAAGGAAATAGGTCTATAATTAGTCACGTCAGTTTTAGAACCGTTTTTAAACACTGAGGTTATATTCGCAGATTCAGACTGTGGGCACTACACCTTCACGCAAACTGCGGTTATACAAATAGAACAGAGGTACGCTTATTGAGCTAGCAGTATGTTTGATGAAAAAAGGTGAGATACCGTCTGGTCCTGAACTTTTAGTTAAATCTAAGTTTTTTAGACATTGTTCTATTGTGTTTTTTGAAAATGATACATTTGAGATAATAAGGTTAGTGTTTGATGAGCAAGGAAGTGAATCTATGTCGTACGTCATCAGTGAGCTGTTCTCATAAACTGAAGTAAAGTAGTTAGAAAAAAATTCACATATGTCCTCAGGATTATCGGTTTCATTTCCATCGTGAGACATTACGTTGGGAATACCCCATTTTTTTTATTGTTTACAAAATACCTACCAAAATACTTTGATGTCTTTCTGCAAACTTGTTTCAATTTTACTTAAATATAAATTAAAGCTCTGCGCGGAAAGTTGTTTAAATCTTTTTCGAAGTACAGAGTATTCCTCATAATCTACTTGGTTAGAAATTTTTTTCCACTTTATCCATGATTTTTCTTTATTTTTAAATATGTGTATTAGTGGGCGTGTAAACCACATTGGAAACTTTTTAGATTTGATTGGGCGTAAAGTTATGTGTTTCCTAATGATTTTATATATTCTTCATAAAAGTGTTGTGGCATGTCTAAGACCACCTCTAAAATACTTGCCCAGTCTACACGTTAATATCGTCATTAATATCTGCATATTTACCCTCGGAGAATCGGTATTTTGGTAAAGTTTTACGCGCCAATTGTATGTATTCTACGTTGAAAAGTATCTCGGCGATAAGTGGTGGATGAAAGACGTCTATCGGAACTAAAGAGTTTAGTGGTGACTTACAAGTACTTGTATCATTATTTGAAATGAAAAGATCTAAGATGCGATTCTTATTATTTTTAATTAAATTAAATTGTTTGCAACCTACAATTATTAAAAATTTGAAATGAGCAGTCATTGGATTTTTGCAGTAATGTGTATTTGGAGTACATGTACTCCCGTCATACTGCAGCCACTCAATGTCGGGTAGATTAAAGTCCCCGAAAATATATATTTTTGTATTTTCGTTACACATAAGCTCATTTTGGAGAGAGTTGAAAAATAATTGGTAAGCAGTTAAGGGTTGATTTGGTGGCCAACAGCGTGACATTCGTCGTGTTGCTTAGAATAAAACTTAAGTATCACATAGTCAATATTAGATGGGACATTTATAATTTCATCTTCACAGTGAAAAGTGGGCTTTAAAAATACATCGAGTGCCATTTAGCCCCATGCGCACCGCAGTCAATACACCTCCACCGTCTGTTTTACCACTTAACTCTCGATTTCGATCGCATTGGTACACTACATAACGCGAATCAATGAATTCACTATCTGCAATATTCGAGGTCAACCATGTTTCCGTGAGAATTATTATATCATAATGTTGCAACAATATATTATTGAATAAGTAGTGAGAAAGTACTCAACTTTGTCCTCAAACCTCACAATTCTGATAGTATACCTGTATTTTATAAGCCATCTTTATAAATAGTATACGTATTAAGAATTACTAGTAATAAGTTAAAAAATAAAATTTAAAAAAGTGTATAATTCGAAATAAAAAACATATAGAACTATATATCACAAAAATTTGTTCGTGTACAAGATTGTTTAAAAGTAATTTAGTTGGTGATAATTGTATTATGTTATTTGTTAGAAAACGTAAATCGTGAATTGTATTAAAATGTAAATACAAAATAGTCATTGTGACGGTGGCAGCAGAAAAATATATGTGGTAAAAGAATTGTCCCAGTCGTAAACAACACATAGAGTAATGCAACATTAAGAGCTTGCAAATACATCTTATAAGAAGACGTACCTTATTCATATTATTTTCAAATTTGTTATGTGGTATCATTATGTTTACTTTTCGATAATTGCTGTTGTTATCTTTGTATAGCAT